AGAGCTGTGGCTTGCTTAATTGTGGCCCATTTAGTTGCAGGGTGAGCCTGTGTCAGCACTGGGAGAGGTGGGATCCCGGCTGGCCAAAGTGGGCCGGTCTGGTTCCCACGCTCCCCGCTGCCACCCACACAGCGCAGCTCCCTCCCTCGCGTGGGCTGCGCCCTGGGCTTGCTGTTCTCCTCCGTGTTGCGCAATGCCAGGGACCTAATGATGGCCCGCGCTGCTGGGGTTTGCCTGTCCCTGGCTGCCGTCCCATCCCACCTCACCCACTTGTGGCTTTGGAGCACATTTTCTCACATAGCCAGGGTCCTGTCGAGCTGTCATCTGCAACGTGAGAGCTGAGGAGCTGCGTTTTCAGCTTGCTGTGTCGCAGGGAGATGGTCTGTTCCCGTGTGCTCTCTCCAGGCTCTTTGCCCCCTGCCAGCTGCTCCTTGTGCCCCAGCTGCCCCGTGCAGCCCCTCTCCTGAGCAGCACCACCAGCCCAGCCCTCTCTGCTGCCCAGCCCTGAGCCTGTTGGTGAGAACCCAGAGCACGTCCAGAGGACGAGAGAAGGGGTGACCTGGAGGGATGGCCTCAGAAAGGGTCCCAGCTGGGGACACAGCACCCGAAGCTGTGGCAGGGCTCTAGCAGCAGCACCATGGCCAGGAGGGACGAGGCGCTTGTCGGGGTGTGTGGATCAGCGGCGCAGAGACATGCACAGCTGCTCCTGGCCTCGGTCACTCGGTGGCACATGGGCAGCTTTTTCCATTGCATTTCTGCAGGTGGGAGCTTTGATTTCCCTTGCAGGCTCGCAGCCCCTTAGCGAGGGTTTGCTCCTGCTTTTCATTCCTGTACCAGACATACTTGATCTGATGGCTTCTACAGGTGGCGTGGGGTACAAGAGGGTCCGGCCGCGGTTGTCAGCTGTCATCTAGAGTCAGAGTTAATCCAGGAAAACAGTAAAAATTAGTAATATATATCACATTCCTCCAATCCATACGCTTTCCATTAGGTGATCTTCCATCCTCCTTAGCAGAGAAAGAAAACCCTGCCGATGGCAGTCAGCGCTTCTGACTCCAACAGGCAAGGATTGGTCGTGCCTGGAAATCCGATCTGGGCTCTCACATTCCTGGACACGCTGTCTATGCAGGGAATCGTCTCCCACCTTTAAATCCAGGCAGCAGATGCTGGCCATGCACGCAGCCTCTGCCTGCAAGCCCAGGCGCTTCAGTGGCTGCAGACGTGCCGGGCCTGGGGCCGACCGGGGTGGTGCAGCCCAGCGTGCCCTCGCGCCAACGTGCCGTGTGCCGGCCTGGGTCCCCCCCCGTGTCTGGAGGCCTCTCAAGGGTAACGGCCTTGTCCCATGTCCCACCACAACGTCATGCAAGTACAATAGCCAGGTCAGCGTGGTAATGAGGTGCAGCTAGTTCTTTCTAAAAGAGAGAGCATTTTGACTTAAATTAAAAATCTGGTGAAGAAATTCCTCTAGATCCACAGTGTCAAGAGGATTACAATATTCCTAAACCAATAAAAAGAAAGTGAAACGCTCAGCTTGCTCAGCTAAGCCCTATCTTCAATCACCCCTACGCTTTAGTGGCTCCGGAACAGCAGTTCAGTAATAGATGTTATACAAGGCAAATTCCGTTGGTAATTATGTGCAGATGAAGAAGTGGAAAAGACTTGCATTAATTTCTAGGTGTGACTGCACATGCTAAGCGTGGCCTGGGCCCTCCAAGGTGTCACGAGCAGGCTGGGGCTGCGCTCTGTGGGATGGAGCTCCAAGTGTGCGGCTGCAAAAAAGAAGGAGTCCCCCCCTCCTGCTCCTGCTCCAGGAAAAACAAAGGTCCAGAAAGCTCCACTTTTGGTGCATCAGCTTGCAGGGCTAACTCTGATTTTTTTTTTCCCCCCTTTCACAGAGAATGTGATCAATGGGCAGGACTACGAGGTGATGATGCAGATCGATTGCGAAGTGATGGACACCAGGATCCTTCACATCAAAAGCTCATCTGTCCCTCCGTACCTCCGAGAGCAGCGCAGAAACCACACCAACACCTTCTACAGCGCATCTCCCTCCGTCCCGGAGATGCCCCATGCCCTGAGGGCTATTGTCAAATCCCTGCAGTAGCTCCTGCTGCGCAGCGGCACGGCCGTGCACCCGGCGTGCGGCGGGTCCTGCTGCCAGAACGGAGCC